AAAAAAAAAAAAAAAAGAGCGGCACAGAGGATCACCAGCATAATTATATAAAAAGCGATTATTGTTTAAGCAGGGTGGACAGGAGAAAAAAAAAAAAAAAAAAAAAAAAAAAAATTTTAAAATAACTCCACCCCGCTTAAACAATAATCGCCGCGTAACCATTATTGCCGCTCCACCCCACCTGATGGACGTATTAATGTTGATCTTGTTTTCCCACTCAAACTCCGACCACATGATGCGGAACACGTGGGACGAAATGAACGAGGCGTTAATATAGTCAGTCATATTTATGTTCAGCTCGCTCAGCACAATGTAATTCTTCTTATTCTCATTTTTCCGTTCATAAAAAACATAACCAAAGATAATCCCCGCCTCAGTCGTGTGCACCTTCACACTTATTTTAAATTTCTTCTTTTCATTTGGACCCAAATTAAACACAGGGATTTTGTCAATCGGTTTCAAATTACCATGGGTCGATAGCCCAATGAAAATGTTCTGCAAATATGCACCAGATTGGTTATAAATATATAACTCAATAATTAAATTGATATTAGAAATTATGGGCACGGCTTCAATAAACAGATCATCATCTACCCCTGTGAGTTTTTGTGAGTTGTATAGCTTAGCCATGAACAGGGAAGAGTAATTGTGTTTAAATGAAGGGAACTTAAATTCATTTTCTTCAAAAAGAATGTCATTGCTTAAGGTGTATTTCAATTTGAGCTTGTCCAATTTCTCGTCCATTAACACATCCCTTTCATCCACTTCAACAGATCTTTCGTCAAACATGTTCAACACATTTTTCTTCTCCTTGAGGATACGAAAATATATTTCGTCATCTACACTCTGCTTATTTTCATTCGTTTGGGTTGGAGGGGGTGACAGAGTGGTGCTCAGTCCTCCTTTGGCGTCCTCCTCCCCGACGAGCGAAACATCATCTGCGCAGGCTACACCTACGTGACGCTGAGTGCCGCTGTATATGCTGCTATACTTTTCCTCTTCCTTGTGAAGGAACTTCTGGTAGTACTCATTTCCACTGAGGAAAGTTAACACAAGCTTCTTCGTGCAGTCGTCCATGCTACTCATGTTACATGTGATATGCAGAAATATTTTCAAACACTGGTTAACCCTAACCACGTTGCTATCGTCGTAATGCACATCCAGGGCACTCTTGTTTTCGTTCTTCTGCGACAGGTACTTGGCCAGACTCGCCAGGATGTAAATGCCTTTGTTCCGGAACCGGTTCACACGGTGAGCGGCGCTGTTGGTGGGGTTAGCGGCGTTAGCGGCGGCCGAGTTGTCAGCGCCGTTAGCAGCGCCGTTGTCGGCGCGGGGCTGGACCAACGCGGGACCCAAAAAGCCGAACGCCTCCCCACGTACCGTGGCCACCAACTTTACATACAGCTTCGTAACACACACACACAAAACGGAAAGCAACAAGTCGTCATTGTCCGCAAGCAAATTGTAAGCAAACGAGTTTAGCTCACCAGGGCTGTCATCCCCAGGGGACGCACTCTGGCTTTTCCACACTGCCTCCGTGGCGTAAGTCCCGTCTTCCAACACAACCGTTTTGGCTTGAAAAGCCGGAGAAGGCACACACGAAGAAGAAGTAGCAGTAGCGTTAAAATTCATCACCACTTTGTTCTTTTTAAATTTTTCATTCTGTATCCTGCTCATCACATCTGCTTGTATGTTACTTCCAAGGATGGGCACCAGGTGTTCATATAAATTCTCTAGAAACTGTAAAATCACTTGTTCTCCTTGCATGTATTGTCCTAGAACCCAAAAAAAAATTCTTAAGATATGTGGCTTCTTCACTTCAAATACAACATCACCAATTTTGTTCAAAATGGTACTCTGGAGGGAAAGATTATTTGCTAGCTTCCTAATGCATACTGCTGCTTCGTAATTTATTTCCTTCTCTTCATCATTCACGTAGGTTAAAAGTAAGTCCACCATGCTTAAGCACTCGGTAGAAAACATATTACATATATGCTGCATCGACTTGAGTAATATTTTCTTGTAACTCATAATCTCTTGGTAATTCGTAGACAGGTTATTAGTGACAGAGTTATTCTCTCCTGTGTTACTCACACCAGTGTTGGGGACTCCACTTGCAGAGCTCGACCCACCATTAGCACCTGCATTAGAAGAAGCTACCACCCCACTGTTATTACCACCTCCACTAGAAAAAATATTCTTGCTATACATAACTGTACTGTTCAGCTTAAGAAGCTCCTTCTTTAACACACCCAACACTAAGTGCACATTCCGACTGCTTAATATGTGTAGCACTAGATTTAAAATCTTTACTCTTATGTCTTTAGAAGGAAAATTCAATGCTCTAAGTAAGTCCATAACATAATTCTCCAAGACCTTCTTCCACTTGCACATGATGTAATATAACCTGTCTATTACAATTAGCTTAATATTATTATCGTGCTGGTTAATTAATAATTTAATAAAGCACTCGCTTGCAGTTTTTATACTGAGCTCGGAGGTACTCATGTAAAGCAAACAGCACGCACCTTCATACAATACACTGTTACTAACATTCTTGTTCACCATATTAAGGAGAATTTTAATAACGTTATTTTTGTATTGATTGTAATCGCTTTCATTCATTTTGTTCTTCCTAAATTGTATTTCTTCACTCAACACGTTTAGCATTCCTCCGTTCGTTTCACTCGATGGCTTCGTGTTGTTCGTTGCACTCGATACGTTCCCTTCCTTACAAGGACTCCTTTCATCTCCTGAAAGTAGATATGCGAAGAGGTCGATCTCTCCATCGGACTGGTACCCACCCAGTACTTCATCTCCCTCAACCTCTTCTTCATGTTCTCCATGGGGATGAGGATGAGGGTGAGGACCAGACCCGGACATACCCGCACCACCTCCCCTGCGGACCCCCTTATCCTCCTCATTCTCTTCATCCTCCTCATTAATCAACAAATACGAATTGTCAAATACATGAGGAATGTACAGCTTCTTAAACAGGTGAATGACCTCAAGTAGAATCACATCAGCAGTATCGTACAGCTGATCGTTCAAAGAGAGAATATACTTTAGTGTAGTCATTGGGTCGACATCAATTAACATGGATAGTGCACTACGTTTAGTCGATATATCATTTTCTAAAAATAATATTTTCTCCACTTCTTTAACCGAGTTAGGTATCACATCACTTCCATGCTCCTTTATAATCGTGTGGATACAACTGATGGCATTCTTCCTAACATAGCTGTGACGATGGTTCAGATTCTTCGTAATGGCTTCTATTAAAGGTTCAATTATTTTAAGGTTTTTAATTTTACTTAGTAATCGCAGAGTGGACCCCCTCACATATTCATTTGGGGAAATTATATCATTCCTGAGCGCATTACACACCAGAAGCATTTCTTCCTTTAAACTACCATCACTCTTGCATTTGTCCACGACCTCAAAGAAAATGTGAGTCAACTTCTTCAATCGGTGATCCTTATGAGGTACTATGAATCTAATGACACACATGAGCATATTGCCATATGGCTCTCCTTGTATTATGTTAAATATTAGGTGTTCCATGCCTTCTATTTTTTTTTCCACATTTTGGCTCTCTAGCTTTTTTTGAATTTCGCTGATGGTCGGCGTTTCGTAGTTGTCTGTACAAATGTACAGAGTGCAGTTGTTCTCGATCTCCGGGTTACCCATTTTGTATGCGCGGCTGCGGGGTGGCAAGTGCAACGTGACGGCTCACCTCTGCACCAACGATACATATGCAGAGCTACACACCACTACGCATGTGCATAGCCCGAAAATGAACGTTGAAAAAAAGAAAAAAAAAAAAAAAACACGTATATATACGTAACATGCCCATATATAATGTACGCCTACAGAGCAACGCTGCGTTAAGCAACTTCCTCCCCAAGGCAGACAAAACGAGCCAATAAACAGCCCCCAGCAAAGCGGACACTCACAAGGAGATCACAAGCACAGGGAGGGGGGGAGGGGGGAACAGAAGCCATGTGGCGACGACGAGACGACGAGATGAACAAACTGGGTCTCTCATTAAGACGAGGGGAAAAAAAAAACGCTACATCGTCACGCGGACTGGATAATCAAACGGGCCTCGCTCTCTTCCTCGCAATCTGCGATATTTCTTGTTAATGAGAAAAAAAAAAAAAAAAAAAAAAAATCATTCACCTATGACATTATTTCCCGGAAGCGTTCCCCCCCCTTTTGTATGTTGTCATTGCTCCATTTCGCTTGGGAAACTACACGACAGGCAAAGAAGCCTCCATCCCACAGAGCCTGCAAAAGTGTACTCATGTGCTATATATATGCATACCCCAAAATATTTGGGCGTGGCAGCACACAAGTATCCGCGACACTGTGTTCTCCCTCTGGTGGATGGAAAAATGTCCTCAAGTCCACCACCTGTACGCAATCCCCTAAGTTTGCAGTGTGGAGAATGTGCGCTTGGCACACCTGTCAACTGCAAATTCACCTCTGTAAATTTTACCTAGGGGGTGCCCGCTTCCTCGAGTAGGGTGAGCATGTTCAAGCAATTTTAATGTTTACCAAACTGTGTGGAGGAAAAAAACATTTGAAGAGTTGTGCATCCATCCTGTGGCATGCTGATGATCGAGCAAATCTGAAATGTTTTTTTTTTTTTTTTTTTTTTTTTTTTTTTTTTCCTACCAAATAGCTAGCTGGCGCGAGTAACGCACACAAAAGAAATGTAAATTTGTGGAAACCATTTTCATTTAATGCTACAGAAGAAATGCAGCTTCCCCTTTGGGACAATTTCAACACTACCATTGAGGGTGTGCTCGAGGGAGATATATAACCAAAGGGCGAGTGATCCCCTCGTCCAGACGAGTGCATTTTTCCCCCCCGCGAACATGATAAGAAGTTGTAGAGCGGTGAGCAGCCTGTCACTGAAGAGGTGGCTGTTCGTGGGCTCCCCCCCCGTGTGTAAAGGGCACACTCGCACATCAGCAAACTGGGTGGGAATAAATCGCTCAAGAATGAAGCAGAGAGAAGACAAACGCGACGCTGAAATGGAGCCAAAGCTGAGCAAACACTTTCGGGAAGTGTTCCATGACGGGTCAGAAAAAAACTTTGAATGTCACCCATTTAACAGAAGATTTGCATACACCAAAAAAAGTTTTTTCCCCATCGAGCCCCGCAATTTGCGTACCCTGGGTGTGAACAGAAAAAGGAAAAAAAAAAGGGGAAGAGGTGATAAAGGTCCTGGAAAAGGGATTAGGGAAAAACACAAACACAGAAAGTCAGGAAGACCAAACAGCCGTACATTTGAAAGTGGAAGAACTCCTTTGTACAGGAGGTTGCCCAAATGGCCAGAGGCATGGCTAAGTAGGCAAAAAAAAAATTATGACTGTCTTAACCTTTGTAAGCTCAGGTACTTCATTGAAAAAGGAAGACTCGATGTGCGCTTCCCCATCACGCAAAGACATTTGCACGACTCCAAGTGTGTAAAAGTGAAAAATGGAGTCAAGCTATTCAATGTGAATGATTATCCTTTCCCATACAAAATTGACATTGAAGTGGCCACTGCAGATCAGTCCTCCATAGACGTAATTAAAAAAGTCGGCGGAACGGTCACCATTGTTTACATGGAACGAATAAATCTCAGGGCCCATATTAAACCATACAAATTTGAAATTCTACCCAGAACGGCTAGACCCAACCTTGATGCGATTCATTATTTAGAAAAAATGAGGAGCAGGGGGTGCCTCGTGAAGTATATAAAGCCGTTGTGGCTAATTGAGGAAGAGAAGAGGATCATCAATGAGCTCACCGAGGTGGAGGAGAGCTCCAAGCTGTGCCCAGAGGAAACGGACTCCTCCTGGGGGGACACGGAAGATGAGCAGAAGCGGCGCGAGAGGTTGCTCCGCGCCTACCGCCTGCAGAACACGCAAGTGGATGGCGCCCTCGGCGTGTAGGTTGTGAGGTGAGCTCTGCGTTAGTACGCACAGTACACCCTCATCCTACGCTGCTGTCCGCTTTACAATTTTTTTTTTTTTGCTTTTTTCAAATTAGTAACAATTACAAGTAGGGGGGTAGGTACCCGTTTTGCAAAAAAGGGAAAAGTTCAAAGTAGACAAACGCAAGGTCGCATGTGCACCAACTGCGCCGTATGGTGACGCGCGCCGCGGCAGGCTGCTTTCCTTCCCACCTCACCGGCGCTGCCGCACGCCAGGGTTCTTCCGCTGGCCATCCTCCAGTATGGACGACTTCTCCGACGCGTTGGCATTCCCGTCGGTGGTAATATCACTGGATGACATTTCGTCTTCCTCTCTAGACCTCTCGCTGTACTTCACTTTGTCCCCCTCCTTCTGTGATACCTTCTGAGTGCACTTGTTCAGCGTACCCTTCACCACCATGACAGCTTCATATTCTTCATCACTCTTCTTAACCTTCTCCCGATAATACAAAATTAAATACGTGAAGCGAATGTAGAATACCCATGCAATGGAACACAGTAGCAGGATCCAAAAGTTCCTCTGGAGTCTCATCTTTTTGAGGTACGCCCTGTGCACATGGGGGATATGCACGGAAGGGTCAAAAAAACTCTCCTTATCATCGTTGTGCTTCTTCAGCTCGAAAATGGTAAAGGCCAAACGCAGCAACGCATAGAACGAAATTAGGGATGACACGGACACGTTGATCTGGTATTTGTACATTTGAAAATTGATGCTCCTTTTTTGAATGGATATCGCCATGCGCTGGAAGAGAGCCACGCCACTCAACAACAGGCACGACAGCCCGATCCCAGCGGGCAGGAAGAAAAACGCAATGTCCTTCATTTCTGGGCAGGCGGGAGGGTACAATACGTCACCGTTGTGGTACCCTTACACAGGGGGGGGGGGGGAATTATTAAAAAATAAAAAAAAAAAAAAAAACACTCTTGAGCGAATCCTCACACACGAGGCTAAATCACATCCATGCAGTCCAGGTCAAATCAGTTTACTACGCCAGTGCAGCGCCAAACTGATTTGCTCTCACCAAAATGGATGGTACGTACACCCCGTGTGGGAAACCCTCACACACGTCCCCCTCTCTCAAGGGCGTATCCTCAACAGGGGAAAGATCATCTATCCCTTCGCAACAGAGGGGGGGCGAAGTAAAATTTGATTTGGGGACAACTTTCCACGCGGAGAACTACTCATTATTTGTGCCTTTAAATGGGGGAAGAACTGTTTCCTTCAAAAACGTTATCCCCACACGTTCGCGACAGTGGGCTTGTGTTTTGGCTCCTAGCGGGCTACATAACTCGTGTTCATTTGATTTATTTTAATTTTTTTTTTTTTTTTTTTCAGATCGAGGGCAGGTCGTTTGTCACGCGGGGGAGACGTTGCCCAAGGAGCCACACTAGCGCCCACATGTCAAGTGAGTGGAACGCACGGGCTCAATTTTTTGGTAGACCCGTGCCATTACCCAAATGGAAGCATAAAGTAGAAAAAAAGGCCAAAAGAACGATTGACCCTTCTCTCTCCGCTTTTCATTTTGGCATCGCCATAGTGGGGCTGTGTTATCCGAGCGGGGGTTGCAAAATTACGAAACGGGATTTTACCTGCACACCGCGTCACCACTTCGCCGCGCCTTCACTCCACCGCTTAACCGCTCCACCCCAGAGAGGGGTGCGTCCACACATGAACGGGAGAAAAAAAAAAGGAGCAACTGCACCTGCAAAGATATCATATATGGATATTCTCGTAGGGGGTGGGGGAGAAAGCAACCTCTCTCTGCGTGTGTATCCCTTTTCCCTAGTTGAAACAAATTTAACACACGCGCGACCTACTACAGAATCGGCGTGAACAAAGTTTTCAGTTGGGGCGGCAGAAATGGCGCAGGGAAAAACTGGCCAATTTTTGCGCCTTGGAAATGAAATCAGCACGAGGGAGGGCACGGACAAAAACGAAGCAAAATGAAGCACAATGAAGCATGATGAAGCAACACGACTACGCAGATGAGCCGCAAAAGCGCAAGTCCGACTCGTAACGCTGCGCTATTCCATCCTCCCCAGGAATGACCTCAGGCACGGTGTCCGTGTTATAATTCATGTCGACACCCCTGTACTCCCGGGACGTGTTTTCCACTAGGGTTTCCAGAAAGTACTTACACATGGGCGACCTCTCGTCAAAGGTTGTTATGAATTTCTTCTGTTCTTCCACTGGGATGGGTAGGGACGGGTCGACGAGGGGGTGGCACGTTAAGAGGGATTGACTTGGCCCGGACGACCCCTCAAGGGGAGTCAATGCCTCAGGCGCGCCACGTTCGACATTGGTGCTGCACTGGATAGCGGTGCCTCTTTGGGCAACCCCGTTTGGCACATCAGCCAGGCTGGGGGCCCCCCAGCCCAGGGACCACAGACGGTACTTGCCCCCGCGCAGACCGTCCAGTGCATGACACACAGAGGGCACAGCTAACAAGTGTAAAAACTCAAAGAGGTAGCTACACTGCCAATCCATGTACCCATATGCAATAAAAAATTCACAGGGGTTAATAATCTTCTTCGAAAAATCAGGTACTTCAAGGAAGCTCTTCTCAGGACACGACAAAAGGATATACATTTCTATGTCGGAAAAATTCTCCAATTTTGCAGCATTCAATTTGTTAGTAGCAATGGTGAAACACCTCTTCCCCCTCGATCGTAATATATAATTTAAGCTTCTTTCCATTTCCCTATTCTTTTTTAAATTTACATTAGTCATTAAAACACCAAATGTGTCAACCTGTTTGCACTTTTCTATCAAGCTGTATCTTTTCAGTAGCAATTTATCCACATCCTTTTTTGTTTCAAAATTATATAGTTCATTATTTCCTTTTGCCCCGACATGTTTTTTTTCCTCCTCATTGTATATATGCACCCTGTCAGGGTAATATTCATATTCTAAAAGACACCTACGCTTTAGGTTTATATTTCCGTTTGTAAAAAGAAACAAATTGGTTATTTGTTCTTTCCCCTTGGTTAGGATCCTACCCCACGGAGGAGATATCTCCTCCTGTCGTATCACTTCATAAATCAGTACTCCCAACTTGTTGCTACACAGAACCCTTATGAGCAACCTACCACAAAAGAAGGCGTACTTATTCTCGAGGTCTTCGTGCGCGTCCAACTCGACGTAGTTCCTGTGGTCCCCGTAGCAGTTTTTGCCCTGCACGTTGCTCGCTACTCGGTGCAGGCACACGACTAGGTTCGTGTTTACCGCATCGCTGCTTACCGGGTCGCTGCCCACCTCGTCGCTGCTCACCACGTCACTGCGCAGGAAGGACTTGCCCCGCACCAATCGGCCGTCCACCAGGAAAAGCGGCTTCCTTCGCTTATCCCAGTGTGCACTCGCCTCTTGTCCCCCCCCGCCAACTTCCACACAGGCATTCACAACGACATTCACAAAGGCGTGGACCAAGCGGGACATACAGCTCGTGTAGGCCACGTCGCACATAAGGATGCACACCTCACCCTCTGGGGGCAAGTGACTCCGTATGAACCCCTCCTGAACCGTTTTGTAAAAGGCTTCCTCCTCCTCCTCTTTTATCTCATTAAAGAGGTATATTGAAGGAATGGACGACGTTATTAATGATTGACATGAGGGTCCATAATGCAGCAGCACATCTGCCTTCACATGTTCAGCACTTACGTAGTCTTCACAACACTCACTCAAAGATGTGTCCCCTAAAATGTATATGTTTACTTCATCGGGGGGGCTCCCACCTGTATTGTCTTGGGCCCCACAAACAGATACGTCTTCTTTGTGAGATTTTACAGAACAGCATGGAGTGGTCACCCGGGTTGGTTCGTAACTGGGAGGGACAGGCGCCCCTCCTCCTTGTCCCCCTTTCTTGAGCTCCCCTTTAATGGCATTAGAAAGGAGAAGTGAATCCTCCAACATGCCATCAGGCAACTGCACTGACACTCGTTTGTAATTATTTTGCGAAATGACCCCCGCAGCTAATTCCACTTGGTACCTTCTGCAAATGTCGCTGCTGTGGGGGGCCCGCGCCGCCATTGGTTGAAAAGGGGGAAAAAAAAAAAAAAAAAAAAAAAAAAAGGGGCGATGAAGAGGTCGAACGTCGTGATACGTTTCCACTGGCGAGGAGAAAAACTTGGAAAATAACAATGTGGTTAATTGGGCAACGAAACTACGTCCCCCTTTTCGCCACTCCGCAGAAACGGCTGATCGAACTTGTTCACGGAAAAAAAAAAAAGCCCCGCTGCAGGGCAGAAGCTGTGCTGTGGTAAAATAAGCCAACAGCTGTGAATTGATCTTAACACGTGGGCGCCAAAAAAAAAAAAAAAAAAAAAAAAAAAAA